GTTGAATTATTAGCTTAGTCAATTTGGTGTTCGTGACTTTGCTCTCAATTTAAATAACCTTTTTTGAATGACCTTGTGTATCGATAGTGTATAAGTCTGAATTAGTGGTCTCGAATATTGTCGTGAAGATTTACCTCTGTCAGGCTCATTGTCTCAAATCGTGCTAATATTTCTTTAACAGATACTTTACACTCGCCCGGTTCCTCGACTATGGTTTCCATACGGCCGACAGATCCGCTGCTGGCAAGACTGGGTCGCCGAGGCTTATTCGAGCCTTGCTGTTGGTTGCCATTCGTGTTGCCGCTATTTTCATTATTGTTATTGCTACTGGCATTTGCATCTGTGTTTATTATCGAAGCATTTTCGTATCCACTCGTTGAATGTTGCTCCTTCTCTCGCAACTCTATTTCCTCGTCGCGATCTGCAACAGCTTCATTGGCGTTGTCTTCTTTCGCAAAACCATTTTCACTGCCATCATCGGATTGTTGTTGTTGTTTGTTCTGAATAGAGCCCCATATTGTTTCCAAAGGATTATCCTTTTGTACGAATTCCTTTTCATCGTTGCTGTTATTATTTTTGTCTCTTTGGTATTTTGTATATTCATTATTTTTGGAATTGTTACTGCCATGATTACTGTTATTGTTATTGTTGTTGTTGCTGTTGTGACTTTTAAACATTTCATATTTGTACATTTGGCCGAAATCCTGTCCAGTATCATCTTGCTGATCACTATCGCAACAACAGCCCGCTTCTACGCCCACAGCCGTCCAGCACTTGTGTTCGTCTTCCTCTGCACTCCACGCATTATCAAAGTCCGCATCGTGGCTCAGCGAGGAGCACTGTTCGTTGAACTCTCGAATTGTTTCATCCGTTAACTGATCCAAGTCGCTGCGGCGATGCACTTGCACCGCTGTTGTACCAGTTATGTGCGCAATTTCTGCATCATCCGAATCAGTGTAAACCAAATCGTGATTGTCGAATACATCTTCGGCGTCTGTTAACTGATTCAATGAATCCAACGAAGCTGTCCTCGTGAGAATGTCCTCCAACGACTCCAATCCTTGCTGTTCACTTGTACACTGCACACAGGATTGCAAATCGCCTCTGTCCTCTGTCCGGCAACTGAGTGGTGCATTATCACGTACTGAGTGCGTTTGTTTTGGAGCAGCTAAGTTCCGGCCAGGAAGTGCAGCATTGCTTTGTAGTAGTTTAAAATTATTAAATTTGTCGTTGTTCATTTTATTGATCAACGACTCAACCTTATTGACGATACTGCTGAATTTATGGTGGGCTGTGCCACTGCTATGGCTGCCTTGTGACTTGGATGACATGGAGGACATCTTTGTTGTGTTGATGCACGACTAATAAAATGCGGATTATAGAACAAGGATTACGCTGACACTTTTGTGTTGGCTTCTAGCGCTTTCCATTTGCTTTCCACTTGCACCCTACGCACTATGTAAATATATCTATGTATATATGTTTTTTGTTCGTTTTTTTTTGTTGTTTTTTTTTTTTGATTCAGTGGCTTTTCTTGTGTTATATGTATCTTTTATGATTTTATATGCTGCACAACAAGTGAAAGTTGTATGCGCGCACCGATTAGCACCGACCGCGCACCAAAGTCTCTGCGCAATTAAAAGGCCGTAATTGGCTAAGTAACCGACTGAGCCTGAGCTGCTTCGCGTCACTGTCAACGAACTCTGAGCGCGCACCAGTTTTTGCCAATTGACCAAGTGTCAGCTGTTGCAATTCGAATAGGAATGCACATATTGTATGTATGTACATTTGTATGTCCATTAATTCATTCAAGCATTCAAAAAGGGTAGTTCTATACGCGAATAACTGGAACAGGCCATATCCCCACTTTTTTTTTATTTGCAGTGATCACACTTGTTTTCTGTACACATGTATGTAACTAGATATGTATGCATTTTTTGATGCCAGATGTATTCAATCACAGCATAGCATTCAACTGTCTTTGTGCGCCAAGGCGATTTTCACTTTTTTATTTTCTGCTCATTTACTCTACTCGTTCCATACAAACTAATAGCACTCCAACCGGATATGCAATGACATTGCGCGGCATTCGCCTTTTTCTTGTCATTTGACGTTGCCGTAAGGAAGCTGGACAGAGCGGTCACAAAACACATCGAAACTCGAGACGTACTCGCGACGAGACAAATCAAATTTTTCTCAAATGAAAAACAATTTTCCGCAGCTTTACTATTAAACCGTAAATTTTCCGCACAGCGGTAGTAGCCGCTGAAGCTATGTTGTCGCGACTGAAGATTTCAAAAATGCCGAGCGATCACTTGACCATTTCACCAGCCGACCAAGCTTCGCTCGAATACTAATGCACATATGTATGCATTCATGTACATCATACATATGTACATACATATGTACACACAAATGTGGCTAAATGCTCATGCAAGAGTGGCTCAGTGCAATTCTTTGCAGATTGACCATTGCTTACTTCACTAATGGCCAACTTTATGGCCAACAAAGAGAGTCAGAGAGTAGTATGTAGTTTTTGGGTATAAACACGCACTTACATACATATGCACAAGCCAATGTTCATATGTTACGTACTTACATACATATGTATGCATGTATATGGAAAACTCGGCTTTATGCATTTTGTTATGATAGATGATGGGGCGACAGACCGGTGCTTCGCTCGAGTGTGTAGAAATTTAATTGAATAAACTGTTTTTATGGCATATGTAACTGTGATGTATAAGTGTTTTCATATTAAACTTATTTTTAACTCTCATGGCACTCGTTAGCAAAGAAAGGCTCATGGGCGTACGCTGAGCATTATTTTGGGGGGAGGGGGCGGTGGCTGAGTTTTTTTTAGTGTAAATTTTATTAGAAATGTTAAAATATAGCTATTAAAAATTTATGATAATTTACCTTATTAATTGTTCTCTTTTTAACCGACTTCAAAAAAAGGAGGAGATTATCAATTCATTAACCGATTTCGATAAATATCTTTCTGGTGCCTCAGGGAACGGTCCTATACTAATTTGGTTTAGATCCGATCATTTGATCATGAAAAAATTAACAGTACTTCTAAATTTTTATATGATAACCGAAGTCGGCTGTATTTTTTGCTTAAAAATTACTTGTTATTGTAACATTAAGTTATACCGAGCCCTACAAAGAAATTTATTTTGCATAAAGTTTATTGTGAACTTATTGAAGAGTTAAAATACAAATTTGTTAGTTACCTTAATTGCATGCAAATTTTAAAATGCGACTTCGTCTTTACACCAAACCCATAATTTTTTCATTATTTTTAACCGACTTCAAAAAAAGGAGGAGGTTATCTATTCGTCAGAATATTTTTTTTTTTATGTACATATGTTACCGCATAATCGATAATTATTTTTTAAAGGAAAGGTGGTATCTCAGAGCTGGTCCCATCCTAATTTTGGTTTAGATCCGGTTATTGGATCATGAAGAAATTAACGGTAATCGTAAAGTTTTACATGAGAATTGAAGTCGGTTTTGTTTTTTGCTAAAAAATTAATTCTTTATGTAAATAATAAATAGTCTTCGAGTGGCTTCTGCAAATCGATAAATTGTTTTAGTGATGATTTCATTTATGTTTTTCCTACCAAACCTCTGTGAACGCTAAGCATACCTAAACCTAAATTTGGAAATTGGAAATTAGGAAGATTTTTGTCCCCCCAGCCCGTACCTGTGTACGCCCATGAAGAGGCTTCTTCAGTTTTATAGTTCATGAATTGTGTATATCAAATTGTTTTAAATGATTAAGCTAAATTTAGAAATAAGCATACATATGTACATAGTTTGTTATTACAATCCAAAAATTGCAAATGTTTGTAGGATCCATTAATTGTTTCCAACGAATCAATTTAGTATTTCACGAAATACAGTTGAACGGCATACATATGTTATATAGGCCGCTAATAAAAGTAAAACGATAAATTTTATCTCTCTTTCATTAATTTTTTAACAACATTTATTTATGTACATGCATATGCCTTTTGGATCATTATTTGTTTCGCTTGACTGCACATTAGGGTGGTCGAAAAATGTATGGGAGAAAAGTAAAATCGGAAATTTAATGCTCTCACCCCCTAGGATTGTTCTATACCGAAAAAAATATACCCCTGTTTTTTTATTGAAACTATTTTTTCTTTTTTTCTTTTGTATATTTCTGTTTGTATATTTGATTTTTTTTTGGATATTTCGGAGACCCTTAAAAAATAGTTAAAATTAAAAAATGTTTAAATAAACATTTGGCCATTATTCTCTGAAGTCTTCTGAAGAGAAGCAGAGTTTTCAGATTGAAAATTTTTGATTTCCATGGATGCCATTTCTACGAAAAGCCTTTTTTTCCCCATACAAAATACATGGGAAACTTTGAGCGCTTTGAGCGACCTCTAAATATATTTTGATTTTAAAATAAAAAAACAGGGGTATATTTTTTTTCGGTACAGAACAATCCTAGGGGGTGAGAGCATTAAATTTCCGACTTTACTTTTTTTGGACCACCCTACTGCACATACTACTACCCCTGCTTGCAAAATGCACAATGATGTGTCAAATGTTATGATTTTCTGCTCATGAATTTTCCATTTGGAAGCAAAGGCTCTAACAAATCTCTACCAAGCCACAAAAGTTGAAAAGCTAGATTGTGCCTGGCCGAACTTGTTTTTTTTGCGGTGATCTGCACCTTGTTTCGTATCAAAGTGTACAAAAGTCATTTCGTTTTAGAGTTTATCGACATTACTCGGCTTTGGCATGCTGCTCTATCGCTCACCTTGCTCAATAAAATTGATATGTATGAGTAGATCTATTATTAAAAGGATAGGTGATTAAATCCTAAGATGGAAAGGTTCACAAAGCTAATTTAACTGCACGTTTCTTAATGCCCAGAGCTTATTGGTTAGCGTGTTTTTTTTTATTTTATTTAAAAAATTCGATTCAAAAGAGTAATAAGCTACTCGAAAGCACTAACTTACCTTGCGGAACTCTTGTACGAAAGTTGTAATCATCGCCTGAATTGAAGCTGCTCGGGCTGCATGCAGAGCCAAATGTTCACCGCTACGCAAATTGAGTTGCAGGGAAGCTGGACGCGGCAACGTGATTGCGTTTTGAATTTCATTTAGTGATATGGATTGCACAACAATCAGATATTCTGCATCACGGCGCGCCAAGTAAAGTCCATTGTGTGAAATGCCCATTATGGAGACGTCGGGGTACTGCGGCGCACCTTGCACTGCAAATAGACGGGCAAAATAGAGTGGCCAACTGCGTGCCATATCGATCAAGTGGCGCTTGACTATTGCTCTGATATTCTGGCTACGCAAGGTCTCGACGTTTACGCCATGTCCGTTCAACATGCTCAATGCAACGGATTTCTCTTGTGGCGAAATGCGTAGACAGGGAGTTATGCCGAAAACGTCGGATACCACCTGTGCAAAGAGCAAATCTAAAGCAAGAGGCGGCCCTATCGGTTCATTGGGATGGAATACTTCTTTGCGAACGCGTAATCTCCATGGCACCCTGTTATATGTGAAACAAGCGGTCGCTGGACTCTTAATAGAAGGCGGGGCTGGTACAGGAGCTGGTATAGCTGGTAATGGCCATTCGTCGCCGCCATCTGTCTCCTCGTCGCGGCGTAAGCTTTGAGACAGAACTGTGGATGCGGATGACTTTCGTTTACGTTCCTTTTCGTACTTTTGCGCCATATGTGTGCGGAATGTGGCGGGAGCAGTGGTGGAAGTAGAGCTCATGCTAGTAGAATTCGTTGTTGTTTGTTTATGTATTGAGTGTTGTGTGGGCTGAGAGAATTTGCGTTCCATTTTGGCAACTGTAGATGGCCCATCCGCTCGTTGAACCGTAGCTGTAATGACCTTGGGAGGAGCTGGATGATACACTTTATTACTTTCCTTTTCACGTTCAACTTGTCGGATTTCGTATACGCGTTCTCGTTTTTCACGTTCTTTTTCTCTTTCTCGATCACTACCGCTGGATGAAGGACCCTCTACTTCGGCTCGATCCCAAACAGACTCAGAGAAATCATCGCGATCGCGAGAGCGCGATCGTGATCTGGATCGTTCCCTTTCAGATTTCATTTCTTTTTTGAAGCTGGTCTCGTACACCATATCTAGTTTGGCCGCTTCAGCACGTCCCCAAGAGTCATAGGCCTCTTTTGAGTCATCGGAGCCATTCCAATTGTGGCGAGCTCCGAATGTGTCACGATCCTGACGTTGTATGAATGCCGGGATGTCCTTTCCACTTTGACTTCGGAAGATAACATCATCTGCTTCCAGTTCATGAGTTGTGGGTGGGGTTTTAGGTGCTGGCGGTGGCGCTGGTGGCGCGATTGTTGGAGGTCGTATGGGTGGTGGTGGTGCTGGAACACTTGGAGCTGGAGGCACAATAGCTGGCCATGTGGGTGGTGGTGAGAGTTTACCTTCCATTCGCTCGATTTGTGTACGGACTGAAGGCAAGTCTTGATCATGCTTGCTCTCCATACTCAGAAAATGTCCACTCAATTGCTGTTGCAGCATAAGTTTCCTTGTGTCCTCTAGCTTTGCTGGGGTTCTCTGCTCGGACTTCGTGCTAACTGTAGATCGTACCGAATGTCCAGCGGTAACTTGTTCGAGTCGTTGTCGCATTTCTGAACTTAATTTAAGTTTTCCAACGCTACCTGGCGGCGGCCGCTCAGCACCGATCTCGAAACTCTTTTTAGCCAACTTTGTTGTAATTACTGTTTGTTGTTGCTGTTGTTCATATAATTCTTTAGTAGCCATTTTTCCGCCAGTTGTTTCAATTTTCAGTGTGGTTCGTACCATTTGAGCATGAGTTGGTGGCACATTGGAAGTGGGAGATGGGCTTTTAGAAGTATCGATTTCAAATTCCTCCCATTCCATTGCCGAGCCAGTTAGTGAGCCATTACTGCTGTGAAATTGAGATTGAGGTGTGGTTTTTCGTTGCGATTGTCGCATTTTGAATGCAAAAAAGTCCTCCTCAGTCTCAAATTGTGGTGCGTCTTGTGGCGGAGGCCAACGCCATTTTCCTATTCGCACTGTCTTTGCTCGACCGTATGGATCCAGAAAATGTCGAGTTTCGGAGGGGTCTTTGGCTTCTATTGGTGGCGGCATTGGAGGAGGTGGTGGTGGTGGTATTAGCGATCCTCCACTTTCCGAGGAGGCTTTTCTATTTCTATCGTTCTCTGAAAACTGAGATATTCGGTTCTTAACACTTTGCTTACGCACATTATTCTGATTTGCTATTGGTGAACTATTTACTTTTGTTGCAATGGTATTGGTTGAATGACTGGTTTGCTGAACTGTTGTCAGAACGGGTACTAGAGGGGGTGATGTTGTGCCTGTTGGTGCATCTTGTTGACTAAGCAATGTTTGCAGTGCCTGATTCTGTGCTAACAACTGTTGTTGAATTTGTAAATTTTGTGCCATCGCTGATTGCAAAAAGGCTCGTTGAACCTGTTGCTGGTATACATTCGGATCAGCATCTTGAGGAATATTAATCATTTGCATTATATTATCAGCATTTGAAATTAATGGACTTATTGGGCTAACAACTGGTGATGTAACGAAACTGGCATTCGATGTTGATTGGGTGTGCGTGGTTCCACCACCTTTGATGATTTCTATTAACTCGGCTTGCTTTGTTAAGGTGTTTACGGCTTCGTTGATGAATATCGGTTTGAACAAACCCGTTATGTATTCATCTAAATTATCCGTAGACGATTCATCTTTAGCATCCTTTTTTTCTCCGCCTCCCTTAATTTTTTTACAGAGAGCATTCACATTTGTAAATAGGTTGACTGAGTCATGCACTGCATTTGGTGCATCCAAAAAGTCACAGATGTCAGAGTTAAATACAGAATCCTCTGTAAATGGTTGTCCGCCTCCTCTTATGCTTGCAGCCAATGACCTTGCATCTGATAATTCATCTAGAGAACCATCCAAAACGGGACTAAATAAATCATCGAGAAATTGATCGACATCAGAAGCTTGTGATGGCACACGCACTCGTCGTACATGTGAAGCTAGCGACGGTGCTTCGCTCGTATCAGACATTGCCGATGAACGGGTTGCATATTCGGACTTGTCCATATATTTGCTGGAGTGAGATCCAGCGTGCGATCGACGGCCAGCATTCTGAGATTTTTGATATCTAGGAGCAGTTTCTTTTCCCATGGGGGCCAAACGCTCTGCAGAGTGGTATCTTTCATTAAGACGACTTTCAGATAGCCCAAGGTTCGTTAGCGGTTCAGGTTCAGGTGTTGGATCTAAATCAGCAATATCTCCGGCTAATAGGTCATCTAATGACTTCGATCGCGTCTTTTCTTGTTCGAAATATCGTTCGTTAAGAACCGAGCTTCTGGACAATAAATCTCGTGATGTCTTCCTTACTGGAGGTTCAATTTGCGGTTCGGCTATAGGCGATTCTCTCGCCGAACTTGTCTTGGCTTTAGGAGGCTCCGGTGGTGGAACCTGTGGCCTCTTTGGGCTACTTGGCTCGGGTTCAGGGATGCTTGTTCGCAAAAACTTTGCGCCGGTTTTCATAAGATCACTGCGTATTGCAGGAAAAGCTGGGCACAATTCTTTTTCCGATATAAGATCTAAAACGTAATCTAATCCACAAGAATCAGTTACCAACTTTCCATCGTCTAAAACAACAGTCCAGCCACGATTTGATATACCGAGTGTTGAGATGGCCAACGAAGCCGCCTCCTCGCAAGTTGTCCATGAATCTATAGCAACTGTTTGTGAAACATCGTCTGGCAATGTCAGAGATACCGCAATATCGGACATTTTCGAGATAGCCCGCCACTCTACCCATGATGGTACAAAATTTCGACAGGCGTTTGCCTGCGTATTACTGGAATTACGCAAAATCTTCTTCAAAAGGAGCTCCTTCATGGAAGATGGGGCGTTATCCATAATAAACTTCATCAGATATTTACTAAAAGCAGGACCCGGCTGAAAGCATGACAAACAGTGCGCCATCAACTGCCATATACGTTGCGAGTTAGATTCCTCTGCATTATATACTTGATTGCATAGTTGTACCAGTATTTCATCACGTAATCCACGAGAAGACAGACCTTTGTGTACAATATAATCCGATAAAACTTTCTCCTTATTTCCATCGAGGGATTTATCATTCGTCCAACGAAGTATCAATTTGAATACTGCCAGAGAATCTTGGAAATCTTGGTCTCTGGACGCAGCTCTGGTGAGAAATGGTGTGGTAATCGGTTCACGACGTGGTGATAAACGCAATCCATTGCAGTATACTGAGCTGAACTTTCCAAATGAGAACTGATCCAAATCCCTTGGCAGATCTCCAGCAACCGGCGGTCCTGGTACGGTGCCAACTACTTTAACAAGATGCCGGTCGCCATGTACCGGCGTCCAGCCATCTATCTTTGAATATATAAAAGCCAATTCCGCTGGTATATCTAAGTAGGCCACTTGACTACGTTCAATGTGTTCCTTAGCTAGCCTTTTGGCCTCGCGTTCCTTTTGTGCTTTTTGTGCTTCCAATCGTCGCTTATACTCGGCTTTAAGTTTAGCAACTCTCTTTCGATCCCTTTTACCACGCCACAGCGATTGCGCCTGGACAACGCTTTTCCTAAGCGATGTATATTTCCTCATTTCACGGTGACCACGCCACTTTGACTGGATCTTTATCGCAGCTTTCTTTTTGCGGGCTAAGTGCCGACGCACCAACATTCCTCGAACGTTCTTTTGTATAACAACCGCCGCTGATTTAAGACGATCCGAACGTCCGCTTTCTAGCATGCGATGCAGAGCTTCTCGTAAGAATACACGTGTCGCACCTAGTTGAAAGTCGGGTCCTTCTATACCTGTTCGCGGTAGAGATTCCAGTAGAATACGACATAACTCCCGATATGGTGTACCCCGAGGTAGGGGTGTTCGCAAAAGGTGACGGTAACGCTCAACAAAATGCTGGAATTTCAAGCGAACTGGGTAGCCTTTTTGTCTGATTTGAATGGTGTCGAGCATTCCAAGGTAGCGCAGCTGTTGTAGAACACATGGCATGTCCATTTTCAACGCATGTTTTTCGTTATTCGGCTTAATGCACCGCACGAACCATGGATTGCAGCGACCCATAGATTGAAGAAGCTGCTGCAGTGAGTCTGAGAATCTAGCCGCAACGGTGGGAGTACGTGGCTTCATGGTTACGAAGCGTCCATTGCTTCCCTTGGGAAGAGTTTTGCCAGAATCCCTTTGAGCTCTTAACTGCTTCGTCAAATCGACAACTAACTGCAGTTTACTTGAGGCCAACAACTCAAGCACATCGCCTCGCAAAGCATCTCTATTTTTGTCCAGAAACCCATCTACGCAATACCACACTTGGCCAGCGTAGTGAGTTATGCCGAATTCTTGGGCACCGATACGAGGCCGAGAATACAACTCGTTTAGAGCATGATTGTAGTGACACTTTTCCAAGAAGCTCATGTCGGTTGCGCGTGGAAAATTGGATTCGTCGTCAAGCAAGTGGAATATTCCTACGGGTTTTTTAGCCAATAAATGAATAACCGGCAAATTATCATCCCACGTAAGCGGGGTCCACTCCAGCCGTTCTCGCGAGTACTCAGCTTGCTCTAGCTTGAATACATGTTTATTAAAGTATAATTGAAGATTTTCATTTGCATAATTTATGCACAACTGCTCAAAAGAGTTCTCCGCCAGATCTTCGAAGCCAAAAATATCCAAAATTGATATACGATGTGCATCGTGTGTGCCACCTTTCTGCACAATGGAGTTTATGCGCGACACCAGCCAATTGAATAGTCCAGAATATAAAGCCTTAGCGAAGGCGTCTCTAGAGTCAAGTGCTTGATCAATACCGAGCGGAGTATGCAGACGTTCTGATCGCGCCTCCGTTATGCGACTAGTCAATGCTCTGTGAAGTCCCTCAGCGGAAATGTGCAACAAATGAGCCGCCCATTTGATTTCAGCATCAGAGCCTACTTCTACACCCTCTTGGCCATGACGCAGCTGTCGGCGATGAAAGTACACATTTCCTAGATGCAGTACCGATGCCAGCACTCGAATAATACCCTCCCGTTCGCCTTCAGTAACGCCTAAGACTTGCATGGCACTTTGGAGGGAATCCCAATCCACACGTCCCGGTGCACAGTCAGTAGCACCTTGATTCAAATAGAAATATTTATCTGCTTCAAGCAAACCATATTTGGTACGTTCAGTCTCCGACAAGCCACCGAGCATCTCATAGAAAACATGGTAGTTCCGCTCCCCAGGCGCCTGAGTTACAATGCGTGACTTCTCCAGTAGATATTGTGTAATTTTTGCGCCTACAATTGCGCCGTTTTTAAAGTAAACTTCCAGGTATTTACCGAAACGCGAACTGTTGTCGTTACGAGCTGTACGCGCATTGCCAAAGGCCTCTAGCAAAGGTGCAGCTTCTAGTATTTGTTCAGCAATGACGGCTGACGCGGAACCCCCTCCCGGCACCACAGCAGCCAAGTACTGCATCACCAACTTTGTAGATTCGGTTTTACCAGAACCCGATTCTCCCGATATTACCACGACTTGAGGCAACGGCAATGCGGCATGTGCAGCTGCGCCTATGGCAAAAAGATGGGGTGGCATTGTGCCCAACGGTTTGCCAGCATATTTCTTAGCCACTTCTAGTCCGTATGAGTCGGGAAACATTTTGTATGGATTGACAGCAATCAGAATACTGCCTGCAAACGTATAAATAAGGCCTTTGTCGTAACGAAGCCGCAAGTTCCACAGCAATGAAGCTTCATGCAAATCTTCCAACATAGTCATGTCCTCAACGCCAGTACTTCCGAGATCTTGTCGCGGTCGTAGATTACCCTCGCCTGGCTGCAGTGCAAATGTTTGCGGCTGAAAAAGAAATCAAGAATACTATTACATACGCATTTACCATTGAAACAGTATTTAATAATACAAAAAATTGCTTAAAACTAGTTTAAATGCATATGTGTGGCTATTCAGCATTACGAACGTGTTTGGCTATGACATCGCTGCAAATCGTCGACAGCTTTTTCACATATTGCGGATAGCGATTTTTTGCCTTGCGCGCCAGATCGCGCCGCTGCTTTAAGAGGAGCATCTCGGTGTTCGCGGCCATAATTAGTACATTCTCAAGGCTGGGTGGGCGTTGACGGCGCAAAATGTGGGGAGATAAAATCGCAATGGATGGCGATGGAGCAGGGCTCGGCGTGATCGAACCGCACCGTTGCCATGGCTCCAAATGAAAGCGTACTATACGCATTCGTAGGTGCCAAGTTATGGATGGAGCCAACAACGATTGAACTCTCTCGTCGAATATTGGAAACAAATCAAGCGCCAAAAGCAAACCACATGTCCACTCGATACAATGGCAGCCAATAGAATGGACCGTTAGCTCATACGGCTGCAAGCAAAAGCCACTAAATGAGACTCCAGATCTTAAGTCATGCAATAAGAAGCAATGCTGCGGCCAATCTCCACAGTGCAGCTGCCTGCTACTCTTGCAAACCGCTTCGTAAAGGAAAAAGCTTTTGCATTAATTGACCAACCAAGATGTGGCATAGAAACGTGTTGCCGTGAGTATATGATGGTCCGTGCAGCACAGGCACAACACAACCGAAAGAGTTCTGCGCCGGCACATTGGTCAGATTTCAGATCTCACACTCCACGACCTTGTCAAACCACATTGGCTGACATTTGCTTTTCCTCGCTTTTGCAGCGATTATTTTCTATTTTACTGCTGCAGTTTCGTCTTCGAAGCCGCACATATAAACCACTTTGAAAGCAGTTAACAAGGCGATTACTGCCGACATTTCTCAATGAAATATACGCACGTAAAGATGCTCCAACAAGTTGGACTTCAATGGCTTTTCACAGTTAAATAGCGCAATTGTGGGTTTCAGATTGCTGAAAAACCAGCTGGCGCTTGTTGGTTTTTGAGATTTTGACACAATTCGCAACAGGTAAGAAGATCTTTTGATCTGCGATTGTTGTTATTATCTAGTCTTTTGATATGTGAAGACGAGTATGTATTTATTTTCGTTAACAGCATTATGAGCTGCACCTTCTGCACTTCTGCTATGCATATACTGAAGTATGTATACACATATTTATAGCCAAATATTTATTCGTTCGAGTGAAGAGTGCAATGCTACATACATATTTGTACATATCTACATACGTAAATACACTTTTTAACTAACTTTTTGTTTTATGAATTACCTTTCCCTTGATGAGTGCCTGTACGACAATCACTTGCGCCGCACGGTGCACCTCTTGAATTTCGCCAGGTATAGGGTGCCCTACCCCGGGATCGAACCACACCAAGTCTCCTTCCACCCAATCCATGGTTTAGTAGAATTTATTTTAACTCCTGCGCTTGTCTTCCAAGTGTAGTTTGCGTATTCGGTAGAAAGTTGTTACTAATGCGAATTCCTTTTGAACACATGCATCGCTGCAAATAAATGTTATGAAAATAAATTAAAAGTGTTTCAAAGAAATTTCACTGATATGTATGTGTGTGATGTAAATGTGTACGGCTTTTGAAACTTTCTAAATACAACTGTGCGCATATTTGTTTGTTTTATTTTGGATTTAACTGAAGACGTGCATATCCATATTCCATCCAATAAGTCGGCGCAATTAGCATAAGGTTTGTCAGAAACAGCCAACACTTTTGTTAACACCAACGCTAATCAAACAATCAACAACGCCTTGACACGTCGCTGTGGCACCTTTCATGCCGCTTACACACTTTCACCGCTGCGCTACGCATCGCCCCTCGCACACAGCGCACATACTCCATACTTACTGTTTGTTCAAGATGGGCAATACTACACACCAACAGTTTTGGGAGCTCAGACCCGGAAGCAATTTTGTCAAGGCCTCTCCTTGATAAGGTATTACAGAACAGCACCTAAGCAAGTGCAAAGCACATCTCAACATCACTACACACAGAGTGATTCCAGCGCTCCTTCTGGCGAAGTGCGTAGGCAATGTGTTGTGAAAATAAACTGACGAGCTATTTACACAAGTAATTTAAATGCTAAACGAAAAATAGGAAAAGGAAATCGTTGCGTATGCGACAACTCCATGTTGCGCTATGTAGGCAGCCAAGCCTCAAAACGAGCAATTTATAAATTTGAGTACCAATTGAATTAAGTTTGATGGGCGACACCCATCATGTATGTACTACATACATATGTACATATGTATAGGCATACCTTCCTTTTATATCAGAATGTGGGCTGTAATGCTTTTTGGAGGCGTTATGACAACTGTTGGCTAAAAATCAGCAAACTAGGTGCAGTTCATCCGCTATGACAAAGTTTATCAATCCATGCACTACGCCAAACGCCAAAGATGTTGTTGCTATTAATTACTTTGATATTCATTTTATGCTTTTTATCATGATTCATGAAGAACAAACAATAGTACTGCTCGAAAACGAAAGACTTAAGACACAAACTTGCTCATTTTCTCTGCCAACACAATAGAAAAAATATCTGTAAAATTTTGCGATTAGCGAAATTAAATGCCACTCTCACTCACATTTAGTATTCCATTGCCGCACTCGCAATACATTTGGTTTCCTATTCCGCTCTAATTTACTTTAATTTTTGTCTCGTTTAACATTTTACTTTGCCAGACTTTGAAGAAAGATCTACTGCCACTGACCTCGACAAGCGCTTAAAACCAATGAGCAAGAAATAAAAAGACTTTCACCTGCTGTGATTTACCTATGTATGTTGTTTGTGGCATTAAGTTTTGCATTTTGAAGCGTTAAGTCGTGCTTAGTTAACAAAGCACCGAAAAATTTGTTTGTCAAAATTTCTTTACTCACATATTAAGAATGCAAAATCGTAAGGCTTTCGAATTGATGTGCCCAGTCCAGCGTCACGCATACCAAACGGCCAACGGCGCACAGCTGCGTTTAACGCAGAACTTGTTTTTATATGCGACTGCGGCTAAAAGCTCTCTGCGCTAAGCCGCGGAGAACTAGTTAGGCACCCGAAGAGTAGTGTGATATTGAGATGGCTGGCGGGAGATGAAACGCCAGTTGTCGCTTCAAGTTGAACAAAAGTTGGCGCTGTCCCAGCTGCAGAGAGCGAGCCACAAGCTGCGACTGGCAGCGTCACTATTTATACAACACTACTGAGCATTGTCGCCCAACCGCATTCCAATGCTAAAATATCAGCACTTGGCGCTGTCAATAGAATGGATCTCAAAGTGAATTTTCATAAATATTTAAAAAGCGGTTGTGTAGCCAAAAAAAAAACAAAAATGTTAACCTTAAGCGTTTCTTTTAAACACCAAAACCAGAAGTTGAATATGTATGTAGATTTATGTATGTATATGTACATATGTACACATGTGTGTGTGTCATTCACGTGCGTGTGTACACTGCTTTGACTTGAGTTAAGACAAGTGCGGCTGAAAGACCTGAATCTGTTGCTACATTTTTAGTAAATAGTCAAGGAATTGAATGAATTATAACAGTTTGTATGTATGTACATATAGTATAAATGCATACCCTGTTATTTGTATGTGAAATCTTGTCGGTGCATTTTTATAGCAACTGCAACTGAGCTATGTGCAGCATGTGAACTTTTATCTAATTTCGAAAGAAACAAGTGGCTCATACCAACCGCACAACGCAGCCAGCAACTAAAAGCCAAGTCGTTGTCACAAGTCTCATAATTTGTGTGGAATGACGGTGAATAAATGTAAAAACAAAAGTGACAACCATAATAAAAAAAAGTTGGCAGCGGAGCTTTATAATTGCATTCTTACACATACTTACTTACTTGTATGAATAATACTCGTACACCGATGTGGCATACCGTAGCCAGAGTTGCCAACTTTGTAAAAGCCTTTTTATAAAATGTTTCCTATGGCTCAAACGAATGGCTGCACATACTATCTACATATTAAATGATTATATGAAACATTTGATCTTCATATTTTACTCTGTGTCCCATATAACTGTAACCCCAAGTTAGTATATCGCAAGTTGCTCAAAATATATATCAAAATGATTCTAAACTATTTCCAAGATGAAAGAAAAAAGTTGTCTCAACTCCCGTTGGCAGCCAAAATGTTGCTGGATTTTATTTGATTCGATTGCTGCCTGCCTGGACAATGGCCCTAGCCGATGCCAAGACCGCATTGAATGCAGGCGCGTGCGCAAAGAAAGTGAATTAATTCGTTTTGCAGTCGTTTTCATTTATCGCATGCCAGTGCACCTTCGTGCCATTGTGTTTGCGTTTTAGGTAATAATTATAAAAATCCTCAAACAAAATACAACAAAATTCACAAAAAAAAAGAAGAAGAAATGAAACTGTTAACGCTAGGCTACGCACAATCGAATTGAAATTTTACAAAAATTAAAGTAATAAATCAGCTTTTCAGCGAACAACTTTTGCTATGTACGTACAACGGACACTGTGAATTGAAGCTGGCTTTTGCAGCTGATTACATTTGCTATCAGCAACAGACGAATGAGCAGCAACAATTCATGACGAGTACACCATGCGAGGATAATCCTAAGCGCGATACCTCAACTGCTGCGGGTTTCTGATAGCCGCGTGGCCGCATGAAAGAATCGTGTAGTTTGCTCAACTCAATCGAGAGATATTTGTTTACTTGTTAACAGAAAATGATGATAGTCATCAATTAGCACACATATTTGTATATGTACATATGGATGTATGTAACGGGTGATTTTTTAAGAGCTTGATAACTTTTTTTTAAAAAAAAACGCATAAAATTTGCAAAATCTCATCGGTTCTTTATTTGAAACGTTAGATTGGTCCATGACATTTACTTTTTGAAGATAATTTCATTTAAATGTTGACCGCGGCTGCGTCTTAGGTGGTCCATTCGGAAAGTCCAATTTTGGGCAACTTTTTCGAGCATTTCGGCCGGAATAGCCCGAATTTCTTCGGAAATGTTGTCTTCCAAAGCTGGAATAGTTGCTGGCTTATTTCTGTAGACTTTAGACTTGACGTAGCCCCACAAAAAATGGTCTAAAGGCGTCAAATCGCATGATCTTGGTGGCCAACTTACCGGTCCATTTCTTGAGATGAATTGTTCTCCGAAGTTTTCCCTCAAAATGGCCATAGAATCGCGAGCTGTGTGGCATGTAGCGCCATCTTGTTGAAACCACATGTCAACCAAGTTCAGTTCTTCCATTTTTTGGCAACAAAAAGTTTGTTAGCATCGAACGATAGCGATCGCCATTCACCGTAACGTTGCGTCCAACAGCATCTTTGAAAAAATACGGTCCAATGATTCCACCAGCGTACAAACCACACCAAACAGTGCATTTTTCGGGATGCATGGGCAGTTCTTGAACGGCTTCTGGTTGCTCTTCACTCCAAATGCGGCAATTTTCCTTATTTACGAAGCCATTCAACCAGAAATGAGCCTCATCGCTGAACAAAATTTGTCGATAAAAAAGCGGATTTTCTGCCAACTTTTCTAGGGCCCATTCACTGAAAATTCGACGTTGTGGCAGATCGTTCGGCTTCAGTTCTTGCACGAGCTGTATTTTATACGGTTTTACACCAAGATCTTTGCGTAAAATCTTCCATGTGGTCGAATAACACAAACCCAATTGCTGCGAACGGCGACGAATCGACATTTCACGGTCTTCAGCAACACTCTCAGAAACAGACGCAATATTCTCTTCTGTACGCACTGTACGCATTCGTGTGGTTGGTTTAATGTCCAATAAAGTAAACTGAGTGCGAAACTTGGTCACAATCGCATTAATTGTTTGCTCACTTGGTCGATTATGTAGACCATAAATCGGACGTAAAGCGCGAAACACATTTCGAACCGAACACTGATTTTGGTAATAAAATTCAATGATTTGCAAGCGTTGCTCGTTAGTAAGTCTATTCATGATGAAATTTCAAAGCATACTGAGCATCTTTCTCTTTGACACCATGTCTGAAATCCCACGTGATCTGTCAAATACTAATGCATGAAAATCCTAACCTCAAAAAAATCACCCGTTATGTATACCCACATATTTTAAGCAAATAAAAATAAAGTGAAAAAACCCAGAATTGGCCATTCGACTGTAACATTCACGCTCATTGCAGGCGGTGTTTGCGTGGTGAGAAATTAAACGTTGTTTTATTTGTAGCAATGCTAAATATGCTTAGAATACGACAATGAAAGATGGCTAACCAAAATATGTTATATAAAATAAAAAATAAAACACTCGCCGATTCAAAAGGTGCGGCGAATAGGTGTTACAAAGTTAACAGTGAGCTCAGCAAGTTCGCCGACATTAATATGTAGAGCCAATGAATATAAGAGTATCTCCAAGGGAAGCAGCCAAAGTTTCTTGTAATTCCTGATAAAGCATCAACGCCATCATCAAATCTGCAGCGAAAATTGCAATAACTGTGAAGCGTAAAACTTCAAGCAGCATCAAAGCTCGAATCACTCACAGCAACGGAAATGGGTAAAGCAGCATACAGAGCGAATATGAAAAGTGTGTCAGAAATTCCACGCACAAAGCGAAATCAAATTGTTGCCAGCAAGCCAGTCAACTTGAATCGGTCAGTTAAAATGAGGCCAACAACAATTCACAACAAAAACCCCAGCTGCCAGAGGCATTGAAGAGAAAATAAGGAGAATGGAAATAAAAATGAAGTCAAGAAAAATTTTTCGGGCACATACGGGTATAGGCCTCCTCTATGTAGATGCTCCTCTATGTAGGTGCATCGTACGTACGTACTTAAATACATATGTACAGGGGCGCACCCAGGAATATATTTTAGGGGGGGTTTTATATTTCTGAAGATATATCACCGGAAAATACTGAAAATTTTCTTCAGATAATACGCTCTTTAAAATATATTTATGCAAGCTTTATGTACAGTATGGCAGTCGGCCGCTGTGGTGTAGTGGTAAGCAGTGCGCGCTTCCACTCCACAATGCCTGGGTTCAAACCCTGGTCAAAGCAACATCGCAAAAATATAGAAGAAAGGTTTTTTCTTAACAGCGGTCGTCCCTCGGCAGGCAATGGCAAACCCCCGAGTGTATTTCTGCCATGGAAAATAGCTTCTCATAAAAGTACAATCGCCGTTCGGAGTCCGCGTAAAACTGTAGGTCCCTCCGCTTTGTGTGACAACATCAAGGCGCACGCCACAAATCGGAGAAGAAGCTCGGCCAAACATTAACATATGTGTAAGCGCCAATCTATTATTATTATTATTATGTACAGTATGTAATAAATAAATAAACGTTTTAAAATTCATAAACTGCACTTTATTTACATAAGATTAACAGAACTCAAACACTTTTAACCGACTTTAAAAAAAGGGGAGGTTATCAATTCGCCGGAATACGTAACTTTGGACAACGTGAACCGATTTCAATAATCATTTTTTTGTAGAAAGATGGTACCTCAAGGTTCGTCCCGTAATTTGGTTTAGAGATCCGATGATTGGATCATGAAGAAATTAACGGTACCCCTAAATTTAAATACAAGAATTGAAGCCCGTTGTGTTCTTTCCTTAAAAACTACTTGTTTAATAAAAAGTGCTATAAACTCAAGATGCGCTCAACTTTCAAAAGTACCTAAGAAAAAATTTTAAATAAGACTCAGTAAAAATAAATTTATTGATTCCATGAATTTTTGCACATTTAAGTTCCTTTTTTCGATTTCTGGTTTCTGGCTTTCGATAGAGATGGTGATTTTTCACGATTTCTAATTTTTTTTAATATTTCGAATACCGAAAAAATTAACTGAACTCTCAAGAAAAACCAAAAATTCATATAAAACGACGGACGAGAAATGAAAAGAAATTTTCTTCTACCAAAATTTCTTAAATCAGTTTGCAGCTCTCAAGAAAAAAATGCTCGTATATTCATTTCCTCATGAAAATTTACAGCAAAAGCAAAGCGCTTTTTCAAGCAACAGAAATTATAATAAATATTTCTTATAATTTCCTTGAGAGCTGGATTCTTAGCTTGAAGATACAGTTTGTATTTGAGGTTATTAGC